CATAAATACCCCCACTTTATTTTTCTTCTTATATTATCAGCTTCAACCCTTCGCCATTGATTTCATAGGTATTTTGCAATATCATAGTTGAAGTTGTAAATGTTGGTGATGCCAGTATAAAGTCCATCATGCATATCATATGTATCTTGTCTATCATTAATAAGATTGTCATGTTGTACGTATGAGAAAGGAATGTCACACGCAACTTCTGTTCCAAATAAATTCACTGACATCTCGCATAAGGGTGGCACACGAACTTTGTATGTAATCTCCATATCATTGGAATTTTCATTAATATCTCCCCATTCATATGGACCATCAAAAGAACCCACGATTTGAATAGTTTTGTTATTAATGACCGGGATGGTAGCTTTAATGGTAGTTGGAACATTCAACTTTGATGTAATAATAGAATTCCAACTATAGCTGCGAGTATCTGTAAATGAGAGATTCACTTCTGCTTCAACAGATTCTTTAGTTTCATTATAGTAAACTCCTGATGCAGCGATAAAAGAACTTAGCTCATAGATCCTAGCATCTCGAAAGTGATAATTAACATTATAGATTTTTCTTGAAACAGTAACTTCTGAAACCTCCATTTTTGCTTCTGATGTAATAGTTGAAACCGCAGCATTAAGACAATCCTTTTTATAATCTTTTGTGAGTCTTTTGCAATATCTATTGTTAGCCAAACTACGGAGAGCAACAACATTTTCATTAACTTTCACCGGCCAAAACTTTAAGTTTGGGTTTGTAGTGTTATCATCTCCATCATGTTTGATCCAATTTGGATCTCGTCTCCAAAACCCACCATATTGTATTCGAACACTTCCATCAAAAAGTTGGTAAACCCTATGAGTAACATAAGGAAATCCTCCTTTTTGCTTAGATTTAAATTGTAGATACTCAGATATTCCATCATCTCGAAGACCTCTAGTGAGATACTTCTGATTATTGCCTTTGAATGCAACATATCGAGGAAGCATAAACATGGCTCCCAAATCAGTATAGTTGAAAATATCTGATAAATCATTTCTAGGATCTTCAGACTCTGCTAACAAGCAACTATTATAGGGTTCAGTTTCTTTTGAATGACAGACATAGTGTCCAAGTTGAACGTGCAAAAATTTAACTTGTCCATAATGATTACCAGTTTCAAAGATTGGCTTGAACAATGTGCAAGACCATTTAGATTGATCTTCATTCGGTTGGTCAGCTTTTGCAATAATCCACAACTCTTCTTTAGAAGATCTTACCCAATATTTATTGTTGTAAGAACATTTTAAGTGTACCAATCCATGGCCACTATTAGCTTCCTCCGCTTCCATCTTTGTGTACGGGCTCACCAGATGCTCTCCCCAGAATTGAAGAAATGCATGTGCCTCTACATCTTCGTACACATAACCTAAATATTTTTCGTTATATTCTGAATATAACACAAAATATTTTGGCAATTCCATTTTTCTTCTCTTCTCTAATAATTTTTCTCAACAGAACTCAATATACTTCATCCTTGCTCCAACTTGTTCATCTATTTATAAAGAATGATTTTTTTTTTTAATTTTTATGTAATTAAATATCACAATATTTAAGCATTCATTTGATCGATATCATGTCCTCTTTAAAAGCTTTCATTTATATCCTTTCTTCTTCGGGAATCATAATAAATGTACTCATACCCACATTCACATTCAAGGTATTTCCTTTAATTTGATGGAGTCAAAAAACACATCATCTTGTTGGGGAAAAGAAGAAAAAAAGAACAAAGGCATTAGTGCAAAAGAATAAAGTTTTTTTTTTTCTTTTTTTGGGAAAGCACATGAATTGTGTTAGTTTGTTGATACAATTATCATTGACTTGTCTAATTAATTAATTAATTAGTTGAAAATCCATCAATTTTAATAATATTATACGTACACAATATGGATATATATAATATAATTAACAAAGAAATTACACCCACCACATATTATATATATCTATGTACATATTTTTCTCCAACTATTATTCATGAGTTCTAGTTTTGTTGTAATTTTTAATCAAACAATTAGCAAAATTTATAATTAAAATAATTTAATTTCAATATAAATTTTTTATTAGATATCTTAAATTTTAATAAATTTTAATTTTATAGCAATATATTTAATGAAGAAAAGCAACACAATGCGGCATATACCATCACTTTAAAAGTATAACTTATATATGTATCTTACTTTCGGTTTAAAATTTATAAAAATGATAAAATGTGAGTTTAGAATTTGTAGTAAACTAAAAATTAACTGCATATTAATAAATAATACATAATTTTTAATTAATAAAAAACTAAATTGTATTTTTATCCTTAAAACATTCAAATAAATAAGTATCATATACTACCGCATTAGTTTTATTTTTACATTCAATAATTATTTAGTGTGTAATTAGTAGTTACCTAAAAACTAAATTCTATTTGTATATGTATAAAATTTAAATAGATACATATTATATATATATATATATATGTATATTATCACTTCATTTTTATATTTAAAAATTATTTAATGTAGAATTTCTAATCAACTAAAAATTAAATTTCGTATACTTAAAAATTTAAATAAACTATTGTACATATTATCAATTTTTTAAATTTTAAAATTTATTTAGAGCATAATTTGTACAACCTACAAAAAAAATGAGTTGTGGGTTAAAAAATTAGGTTATGAAGAATTTTTATAATATAATATTTCAAAATTTCTATTCAAATAAAAGTTATCATATATAGGAAGATATAATAGTTATTCACCAAGACTCTAATAATTTTGTAGTAAAATCCAAATTACAGTAAAATATTTGATTCACTATCATTAATAATTAATTATAATTATTTTTCAGTAATATTAATAGTTGAAATGCAATAAATTATGATTGCCAAAGGTTAAAAAGAAAAAGATATCTTATAATAAGAATTATATTGTTGCCAAAATATTATGACTACTTTTATAGTTTGTTTTGAAATCTATATTTTATTCAATGAATCTCATAATTAATTATGAAAAATTTTATTTTTTTCAACAATTTTTTTTATCTTCTACAACAAATAATTCCAATCATTATAATAATTAGAAATCAAAATTATGATGAAGATACGCAAAAAAAAAAAAAAGATATTTCGAGACAAAATTTATTTTTGTTGCAAAGTTTAATTATTAAAGATTAATTTTTTGTAGTAAATAGTATATTAACAAAGAGATTAACCAATTTTATCAAAGAGATGGAATAAATAAATTTGAATTACAACTATTGGTCGAATTGAATTTTTTTCGTTATTTTGGTACGTATTTATGTCACAATATGTTATTTGGCATACGGGAGGTAGCTTTAAAAATTTATTTCTATATCATATAATTATACAATGTTAAGCTCACATAGATTAAGAAATATAAAAAAAAAATCAATCTTATTAGTCAATTTTTTAAAATTTTACCAAGCATTTATCGAATCGAATTATTAGTAAACAATAAAGTGTAATTAAAATTTTATTAAAATAATAAATACAAAAAAAAAGATAAAGTGAATGATTTTTGAAGATTCGTCCTTAATAAAATTCCTTTGAATGTGACCAAATAAAATCAAAATAAATTATAAAATAAGTTAAGTAAGAACAACTTAATGAAAAACAGATAAAATGTCATATGAATAAATAATGAAAATGAATAGAAAAAATAAAAATTATTAGAATATGGTTTATTATGAAAGATTTATTGTAACGCCCAAACATGGGTATTTTTGTAATTTCATTATTAATTGTTTTTATTAAGTTTATTTAAAAAAAAAAAAGAGCGCCACGTCAGCAGCCACGTCAGCAGGCCCAGTCAGCAGTCCTGGCCAACTAGGACCTGCCACGTGGCAAGACCACGTCGACTCGGGGACGGGCCACGTTAGCGATTCGCGTACGCGCGATCGGACGGCCCAGATCAAGCATGCGCACGGACAGCCCAGATTCAATTAGAAACGGACGGTACAGATTAAATCAAAATGGACGGTTGAGATCAAAAGGCAAAAGGGTATAAATAGAACCCCCACACCTGACCACAAAAACCCTAGCCGCTGCCCTCGCCGGAGAAGATGAACCAGACGCCGGAGGAGCCGGCCGCCGCCACCACCCGCCGCCGCACCGGGGAGATTTTCGACCGCTTCCGACCGCCGATCGAGGTAAATTTCATACCCCCAACTCGTTTTTCCACGCTGAATTCCCCTGTGGCCAAATCGGAGCAAAAATCACGACCAAACGGCCGGAAAACACGGCTGAAACCCAGCGGCGCTGTCGCGCCCCTCCTCGGTTTTTGCCTCCGATGAGGCCCTTCCCGGCCTCCGTTTGATGTAATTTTTATATCACCGTGATCACCATTCTCTTCTCTATAGGTTGATCGGAGCCGAATCACCAAAACACAAACCTCACCGGAGAGCCACCGCACCCGAGAGCACCGCCGCCGGTAAGCTTCGATTTTCCGTAATTTTTTGGCCCCCCGAGGACCCTAGGGTTGTTTTATCACAGGGACCGAATGCAAGTGTGGCCGAATTCGGCCGAAAACGGCCAACCCGAGGTGAATCGCCGCCGCTTGCGGCGGCGCC